ATGACAAACATTGTATTGTTCTACTTTATGGAAGGGTTATTGAATGGTACAAAATGGATTTAATAGAGCCCAATGTTTACTTCCATAGTCTTAACTCTCCTCTCCAATCATAATGCTTATCACAAGTTTTAACAAGTTTATGAATCGGTAGTGTATGTTTTTATTATTTTTCTGATTTGTTTTGGATGCTGGAGGCATTTACAAATGGGGGTTATAATTTTAGCCATAGCAGCCGAGCTATTAGTGGCTCATGTCCACATTTTGAGATGCAGCTTAAAATCTTCTATTGTGTTTTTATAACTCATCATATTTTATGTCAAACCCATTGGTAACAACTTGTACATAGGTATCTATTAGAAAATTGAGCAGCAGTACCGTGTGGGTTCTATTGCTTTTGTTTTCAAGGTTACTGGGTGCTGTGCCATTTATTCTGATCCAAATCTGTTTATGGAAGGTGGATTTATGATGGCAACGCTCCGAGCGTAACTCTGCCGCTATCGTTCAAACAATGCTGCGAATATCCTCCTCCACTCTCTCACCCTGTTCTGACCACCTCCTAAGTTTAACGCCAGCATTGAAGATATGTTCGCTGCTTTGCAATCATAAATCTCCCTGGATGTGGTGGACTTTTTTGCTTGATTTCCATTGTGATTTACTATTACACTGCATATCTATCCTTCAACATAATTGTTTAGACTGGCCTAATTGAATAATTCTAGTGTTGTGGGTTGGTTTATGGTCATTCCTTCCTAGCTCATATATCTCAATTTCTAGTCTGACGAAGGGGGTCGGAACGATCCTTCCTGTCAGGGGAAAGGGTTTTCAATTGCTGTGATCTACTTAATAACATTTTAAATACTAATTGTGTACTGTACCTGTTGTTTCAATTTTTTTGTTGTGTTGCGTTGTGTTTGTTTTAGCTGTGCGATGAGATTTTGTTTCTTAACTGATATAAATACAATCTAGTTCCTATTTTAGAACTCAAGAACTATGCAAACAACACATTTTAATGTTAGTCGTAATTGTGTTGTGTCATTCTTCATTTCAACAATATTTTACTTGATGTAGCATAAGAATTCCCAAAGAGCGGGGGCCTGGTTTCTTTGAGATGTGATGTGAGGAGTCTCTCTTAGAACCTCTCTTCTATCAATGTTTTCTGACCTTGCCTTCTTTTTTTTATGGTACTTGAATTTTTTCCTGAACCTCACAATCA